GCACGCGTTTCGCCAATATTTACAATAGCCAATGGCAATTTGAGGTCCTTTGTTTGCAGCACCATTCGATAGCCAGAAAACACAAGCAAACTAGAACCGAGCACCAATAGCCCATCGCTATTATAAATCATCTCTGCAATGCGTTCGATGCGTTGCTTTGGAACATTATCACCAAAGAATACAATCTCTGGCTTTACATTTCCGCCACATTTTGGACATGGGGGTATGCGAAAGTTGGCTACGTACTCAGCTGGGATTTCCACATCACCGTCAGGTCGTACCATGTCGGGTGCATCGCGAAATTCAGGATTTAGCGCGTTTAGTATATCTTGAAATTCGTGTCGATCTATACGATACTCGCATGATAGACATTTGACCACAAAACCGCTGCCGTGCAATTCCACGACATTGCGGCTACCTGCTTTTGTGTGAAGCCGATCGACGTTTTGGGTAACAACAGCCTGAATACGTCCCTCTCGCTCGAAACGCGCCAGCGCATGGTGGGTATGATTGGGCTCTGTTGCAGAGAATGTTGGCCAACCGACAAAATTGCGTGCCCAGTAGCGTTGGCGCACATTTCCGGAGCGTACAAATTCCATGTGCTGTATTGGTTTGTGATTAGTGCGCGCGTACAAACCAACTCCCTCGGAGCGGTAGTCGGGTATGCCTGCCGATTGCGGATACATTGAGTATATTTCGTATTGTTTTTAATGTGCTGTTACGCCTACCAGATTCCGTGGAAATGCCTGCACCTGTGAGAACAACAATGTTGGGTTTTGACATAAGAAAATCTTCTAGGCGTCTGATATCTTCCTCCAGCACTGGATTATGTTTAGGAACATATTGCTGCTTTGCTGCCCGTTGGCTAACAGACAGATGGAGGCGGAGTACCTGATTAAAACGCATTATATGCGTGCGATCCACGAAATTCTATGAAAATAGCAAGGTACAACGCACTTTTCCTAAAACATCACATAACGCAGAAAGAAAAACAAACAACTAGGCGCACGTATAAACAAAACAAAATCAGCTGTTGGGGAAAAGGCATTCACAATCAAGATGCAATAATTGAATTATGTTCAGAATAGTGTTAATCTTTGTAACCGGCCGTGTTCACGTGCTGGTAAATCTCGCTTGCGTGTCGACGAAGCTCTCGCATGCTTTCAATTATCATTTTTGTTGTTTGACAGGTATTTTTATATTTCGCATAATTCTTCAGAGTAGCAATATCGCTTTTTGGTGAAAAATACAAATTTAGCCTGCAAAGCTCGAACCTTCATTTTTGGTGACATTTTACAAATTGTCTTTCCGCCTGCCCCACATATGTACATAAGTGACGGCGAGAACATGGATCGAAAACTCGGCCTTTCCGACCATGATCGAAAGTTCGTTAGCAGCGGAGCGAAAACTGGGCCTTTCCGCCCGATGCACATTATGGTAGACTGGAGACTAGGCCTCGCCAGCTACCCAACAAAAAGTATTCGGTAGTTTTAGATATATTGCAACATATATTTATATATATATATGTATGTATACTTGGTAATATGATATCAACATGTACCTTCTGAACTCGCAAGACTGAAAAATAAATAAGATAATTTATTGTATAATTAAAATTTAGTGCGTAAATAAAATTTAAAATGACAATTGGCTGTTAATTATGAAATTTTATTTGTATATAAGGGCAAATGTTTAGTTATTGGCCCATCGTTTTTGGGGTGGGGGCGGAGGGGGCGTGGCCCCCCAAACCCCCCTCATTCGAAAGGGGCCAGTCGCCACTTTACGTCACTCTACTCAGGCAGTAGAATTCTTCTTTCTGTGTTGCCAAAGAAGGGGGACTGAACACCTTTTGCAGAGAACACCTTTCTACGTAGGCGGCCTTCGGCCGCACTTAGGGATTATAACCCTCAGGCAGTAGAATTCTCCTTTCTGTTTTGCGAAGAAAAGGAGCTGAATACCTTTTACAGAGAACACCTTTGTATATTTTTAATGCTTACAGGGTTATATCCTATTTTCTTTTGTCTCTCATTCTTTTGCATATTTTGGAGTTTGACAGCTGAACTACGCCATTTAATTTGCATATGCAACAAAAGTCAGACGCATGATTTTATTTAATAAATTGTGATTAATTGGTTAATATTAACGTTATAAAGAAAGTTATAGCTCATCGAGTAAAGTGTAAAGTGAAGGAGAATATAAAAATATATTGCTGATGTAGCTGCTTTAAGGAGAATAGGAGTGATAAATTTACGCTAATTTCCGAATTTTACAAAAAAGGGCATATTTCAAACCCAATTTGTAAATAAATTAGTGACCCAAAATTACAATAGTGGATGTTAAAATAATGGGTAGACCCTTGGCTACAAGTGTGTGCAATTTTTTTTTGGATCGGGTCACCCCTTTGGACGCAATACCCCGAAATAGGTGGGCCACTTACTAAACAGTANTGCAATTTTTTGGATCGGGTCACCCCTTTGGACGCAAAACCCCGAAATAGGTGGGCCACTTACTAAACAGTACCCTATATAAGAATTATCGTATTAGCCGTAGGCTATTTGTTAATAAATAAATAACGTAAAATGTATGCCGTCAAGTGTCCAGTCAACAAAACTATCTCGCTTGCGATAGCAAAAGCAAAACGCAAGCGAGATTTTCAAGCGTGTGAAGACGGCCGGTAAGAAGGAAGTTTATTTAGAGCAATACTCAAAAGCTATTTATAGCAAACAAATATTTTAGTTAAAGATGTTGCATTTAAATTTATATATTTATATACTGATTTGCCAATACTGGACTATAAACAAACTACATTTTGTATAAAAATTTATTCCATGTGGCTCCTTTTTTATTTTTCTTTTGTACATGCTTTCGCCCACTTCAGGAATGCCAACTCTGTCAAGGAAAATGTTCCAAAAATAAAAAAAATACCCATTTTCATCGGTTGTCCCCAAGGCATATTATTTAATGTGTCTTGGGTTGTCCCCCAAATGTATTTTCTCTAATTAAAACAGTTTACTATGAAAAAGATAATGCGCTCAAGTTAACATTCACGCGACGCGTATGAGTATGTACGATCTTGTTTTCGCCATTGTTGAAGACAGAACAGGCTTATGGTTGAAATTTACCGCTTCTACTTTTAAACATGCAATACCGTTATGAGAAATATTTATTAGTATTTATAATTTACTGTTCGAGATTTATTATAAAATATCGAATTCCGCCAAAACTTGTGCTGCCGAGTTCGAATTCCACCAAAATGGAGGAGCTCTCGGTAGCTGGCAGCCCTAGTCCGATTTCACGGAGCAAATACGCTCGTCAATTTTTTGTCAGTTGAAATGCAACCGTTGTGGTTTTTGCCGGCGATTTTTAAGTGTTTTATATGTATTTTTCGTGAGTGAATTTGTGTGTTTGGCTGTTATTAATTATCGCTGCTCATTCTTGGATTAAGTGCATTTGCAATAAATTTGTTTGCTGTGTTTCCGCCGCGCTTCGCTTGATGTGCACTGAAAACAGATTGTGTTCATAATTTGCACTCCAATTAATATTTTGCGCACGCACACCTAAATTGCGGAGAAATTTTCCTTAAAATTAAAGAAAACACAATCGTGAAAGTGGCAAAAGAAGTGGTAAAGTAAAAAATAATTAAAAGAAGATAACTAGCAAAGCAGCAGTGACCAAGGCGTACAAACAAGGCAGCAACCTGAAACTTCGGCAGTAGCAGAGAGAAATACAACAACAACGCGAAGCAACAGCTCTGCTTACACGTACAATTCGAATTGACGCAACACGACGTGCGGTTCTTCTTGTCCTTTTATTGTCTGCTTCGCAAGAATATTTTGATTTTGCTGTCATCGACGTTGGCGCCGACGTCTACGTTAACCGAAGTTCGCAGCAGAGACCGGGACGCTTCGAATGTGAACTGTGGTTATTGTTTTTTTGCGTGTTGGGTGCGTTGAATCACGCGAGTAGCTGGTAAATTGTAATTATTTGACGGTTTTAACACGTTCTGTTTTCTTTTTTGCATAACTTTGCGTACTTACGATACAAATAGTGAAGTGTACACCAGAAATTAATTAATATAAAAACCTATATCGATTATAAGCAGCTGCATACTCAAAAGAAGTATAAAAGGATTCAAGCGAAGATAAAAATAAAAGCAAAATGTCGGACACAAAATCGGTAAGTTTATCATATTGAAATGATGTTATTTATACTAAAAACTTAGTACATTGCCTCATTAACACACTGGTTCCAGACGCTATACAATTCTTGTTTTGTTCGAGCAGAAGTTATGTGAAATTTTATTTATAAAATCGTTTTCATACATACATCCATACATATGCGCTGCACACAAACGAAACAGTCATTCAAGGGCGCGGCTGTCGTTGCAGCAGGTCAATCCGACGGCAGCCTGCCTGACTGGCTGGTTTTGGTTGTAGTTGCTCTCCTCATTGCCACCATTATGCTAACATAGGCATTTCACGGTGGGGTCTGCATCATTGCCAGCTTGGTTGTTGTGTTGCCCCTTTGACTTTACGGGCTTGTTTGCCACTGTTTCAAATGTTAAAAAAAATGCTGTAAAAACGATTGAATATAAACTTTAACGTAGGATAGTATGCTATTAAAGGCAAATTATATTAAGATGAGGATCTAACATACACTTCGGAATATACATCCTTCTTATTTAATTCAGCTTTTGCCTGTATACATGTATGTACATANTGAGGATCTAACATACACTTCGGAATAGACATCCTTCTTATTTAATTCAGCTTTTGCCTGTATACATGTATGTACATACATACATACATATTTATGCTCAAAGGGATAATTTGTATACACGACAAAACAAATAAAGCCTGGAAAAAAGCACAAATTTGCACAAAGAGGGCAACAAGACCCAGCAAATGTATGTAGGTACATACATATAGTGGTGAGCACATAATTAGAGAGGGTTATCAATTCATCGGATTTTTTTAGCATGTACAAAATTTGCTACCGGATAGTTTTGGACCACGTAAACCGTTTTCGATAATAATTTTTTTATCGGAGGTGTTGCACGCAGGGGTAGTCCCATATCTACTCATAATAAAGTACAAGTTTCATGTCGCTAAAAATTACCGTTGATTTTTTAGATTGTTCTTTTGTGGAAGGTGTTTTCTTCCATAAAAAAAAAAAATTATTCGTGTGTTATTTGGAAGAAAGCGCTTAACACATGTAAAAAAAAATCCACATAATTTTTAGCGGCTTGAAACTTGCACTTCATTGTACTAAAATTGAATTTTGAACTTAAAAAATTAATAATCAAATTTTTGAACTTTTTAATCAGGATTTCTAGTCAAAACTCGGGTAGGCGTTCAGTTTTATACCCGATTCTGTTTTGATATAATCATCCTTATTATCATGACTTTAATTTTCCCCGAACCGGTTCACTTTTTACTTTTGGTTTCCATGGGCGGAATACAAATTTTCCGTTGAATTTTTTACGGGCGAAACTCAGGATATGGCAGAATATTGTGCATGTTTTAGTCATTTTTTCTGACGCTTTTTTTCCATATAAAAGAAAAATTTTAACATAAATTGCATGGAAGAAAGTATGTACGTAGCACCGTTAGCAAACCTTTAGTCAAAAATCAACACAAACTCCAGGTTTGGAACATTTAGTTGCATGTTTTTTTTTGTAAAAAAATAAAGAATAAAAAAATGATCACTACTTATAAAGAAGAGTAAATTCCCTAATTATGTGTCCAACACTGTAAATACCTATGTCAAGTAAATGTTGATAAAAATCTGCATCCCAACAAGCGCTCGGTTCAGCACAAAGCCGGCAACTCTCCGAAACGTTTCACTTCCAATCCTTTTGATGAACTCAGCGCAACAAGGCAACAAAACTCAATTGAACTCATGCCAACGACAAACCATTTGTACAGGCGGGGGTGTTTAAATACTGCAAATTGTGCACTTCAGCTCCAACACCTTGCATACTTTTTACCAGCATATGCTTTTATTTTGTGTCATTGTATGGCGGAGTTGAATGAGTGCAAAATAACCACAGCGACTGCACTGTTAGACATAGCGCGGGGTTATAAGGAATTAGTCATCAGCTACTGAATTCCAACGATCAGCGTGCCATCAGCTAGAACGTTTGCGTTGACGAAAAACAAAGAGCTGTCTGTATTTACAAAAAAAAAAAACACAAAAAACCACAAAAAAAGCACAACAAACAAGTCCGCCAACAAGAGACTTAACGAATTGGAAAATATGCAATATACATATCGCACACATATATAAGGTTGATAAAATTCTTAATTAACAACACCGTTTGAATCGCGATCATTAATACCAAGAACAAATTACGGACTTGAAATAAAATCTAAAGCTTTCAGTATCTGCATAACACTCTCTCGACGAACAAAAATCACGCTCTACAAGATGCTCGTTTTGCCCGATCTTTTATAAGGCGCAGACACGTGACGACGTCGAACAAAGGTGATACTTAATGCTATCCTTTCATTTAGTGAAGTATTCCTCGCATGATCTACGGCGCTGTACGCGTGGCCGACGGGTAGCAAAGAAGATGGAATGAGGACAATAACAAGAACGACTTCTTTTTGGTTGTTTGTGTTTCCGATAGGGTAGAGTATGATGTATTGCGGAACGATTTTCGGTCATCCCTTGTNATACATATGTGTGCGATGAAGGTTGATAATATTCTTAATTAACAACACCGTTTGAATCGCGATCATTAATACCAAGAACAAATTACGGACTTGAAATAAAATCTAAAGCTTTCAGTATCTGTACATTCGCCTTAGGAGCCTTGTCAGCAGCAGCTTCTACCCATGATAGTCGGGTCTATAGGTATATGACCAACGCAGGGCGCCACTACATCTGATTTCAGAAAAACAACACGAAATTGTAAATGTCGGTAGGCGATTGATATGCATACACTCTCTCGACGAACAAAAACCACGCTCTACAAGACGCTCTACAAGATGCCCGATCTTTTATATGGCGCAGACACGTGACGACGTCGAACAAAGGTGATACTTAATGCTATCCTTTCATTTAGTGAAGTATTCCTCGCATGATCTACGGCGCTGTACGCGTGGCCGACGGGTAGCAAAGAAGATGGAATGAGGACAATAACAAGAACGACTTCTTTTTGGTTGTTTGTGTTTCCGATAGGGTAGAGTATGATGTATTGCGGAACGATTTTCGGTCATCCCTTGTCAAATTTGGTTTGGAGACAAACCGGTTTCGGCGTTGTGCCATCTTCAGTGTCATTTTTCGTTCTGAATAGTTCGTGTTTCCTTCCGCTTATTATGTATTCGTGTTACTATCTGTTTTAACTGTCAGTATGCATGACCTAATGACAGTTAAAAGACAACAAGAACGACCTGTATCACCTTTTTAATAACATGGACATAGATAAAAATGCAAGATTGCGCTTGACAAGCGAAATCGAAAGACGAAGTGCACTCGGGATGAAACGACAAACGGTTATAGCGCCAAATAAAAACAGAAAATGTCGAATAAGGTATTAGAAAAACCGATCCAGGTTTGGCCGGTAACATATACATCTTGAAAATTTTTTGCAAGGCATGATTTAAAAAAAAACTGCCTTATTAAATATATATAAAAATTTTATAATTCAATAGTATATAAAACAAGCTTTAATTTGGTATACAACATCATGTTTTCAGTCCGTGCAATACAGTGTTTAAAAAAAACCTGGTCCGATCAACACCGCTACGCTACCCACAGTAATTCGCTCTGCGCAGGCGGCCTCCGGCCGCACTTAGGAATCATAACCCTTACTACGCAGAATTCTACTTTCCGTCTTGCCGGATAAGAGGGACGGAACTTCTTTCCACGTAGGCGGCCTTTGGCCGCCCTTAGGAATTATAACCCTTAGTACGCAGAGTTCTCCTTTCTGTGTTTCCGGAGAAGGGGTCAGATCTTTCTGCGTAGGCGGCCTTCGGCTGCGCTTAGGAATTATAATCCTTAATACGCGGAGTTCTCCTTCCTATGTTTCCGGATAGGGGGGGGGACCTTATTTGAATGAACTGCAATAGGTATAAGGCTGTTGCTTGCTTGTAAATGCATTTAAATTTTTTATCATAATAAAATGTTTATTTCAAATTAAAGGTAATAACTTGTACTTTCTAAGTAAGCAATGTACACTTCTTAAGCATTAATCACGTAATCTTTTCAAAAAAAGTGATTTTATGAAAAAATTAGGAAATATTTTTTGTTTTTTTAATATCTTGGGCTTTAAAGTACGGAAGATAATATAAATTAGGTAAAAGAGCTGAAAGATAAATTAATTATCTTTATTTTGACACATTACTTTCTTTAATCGGTTATGTGTAGTTCATAAGATATTAACATTAAAAAAAATTTAAAAAAATTTCAACACTAAATATCTTTAAAACTAGAACCNGTAGTTCATAAGATATTAACATAAAAAAAAAATTTAAAAAAATTTCAACACTAAATATCTTTAAAACTAGAACCGCAGAACCTGAAAGTGGGTATATTTAAAAAGCGGAAGAGCCCAGCTTTCCAATAGAACAGCCAAAATTTGTCGCCCCGGTTATCGTAATCTCCCCCACTTTTGGTTTCCATGTACATATTTAATTTTCGGGTAAATTTTTTTCGGGCGAAACTAAGGATAACGCAGATTAAGAAAATATGTATGTATCTAGCAAAACTAAAAACTCTTCATAAGGAGGATGCCAGTGGCAAAAATGCATCGATGTTTTTCTTTGATTCGATGCATCGAAATTACATCAGATATTTTTCGATGCATTGATTTGCTGGTTTTCAGATGGTTTTGCAGATAATATTTCACAACAAAATATGTTATTAGCAAAATTGCAGAAAATTTGAAATAAATTACTGCAACTGAGCTAATTATATTTCTAAAGGAACTTTTTGGAGATATTTAAATTTTTTGGTCAAAGTCACCGTTATTTTTTGTACAATTGAAAATCTGGAACGACGGTTCATTTTACTAGAGATGTCAGTTTTAAAAAAACATCGATGCAACGATATATCGACTATTTATAAAAAAAATTTCGATGCATCGAAGCAAAACGTCGATATTTTCGATGCATCGATGTTTTTCCGACATCCCTACTTCATAGATAATCACTTATATTTGAACAAAAACACATTTCATATTAAATATAAAAGTTAAATACGCACGTTTTTATTTCAACTGAACTCTGCAAAACAAGACCGCTCCCGCATCTAAATGAGGTGTGAAACTTAATGCTAATGCCACAAAATTATTTTCTGCTGTAAACATACGCACTTTTAACTACATAACTGAGTTCCCCTATGCATGTTCTTGCTATGTAAACAAAGCAATACGCTATGCTTAATATTGTTAAAAGTGAGAATATGTAAACAAACAAAACTAAAAGGTATTTTAAACAAAAGGCGCGTATGCTTACAATAAACGAACTAAAGGTTAACAGAGCTCATAAATAAACTAGCATGAATCTGCGCTGATTACATTTGGCAATGTTGACAAGCAAAAGACCGATACGATACGATATGAAATTGTTAAGTAAAAACACTAAAAATATCTTCTTAGCCCAGTTCGCTTGAAAAAAAAATAAATAAAAATTCTGCCTCTACTAAACGTCACGTTCACACTTATCAAATGATTTAGTACGACTGCTGACCTTTTGAACTTTGCCGTAATTAATTCTACCAAAATCCGGCGGATGATTTAAGGTAATTCCATGTAAAAGACCAAAACGTCAAAAAATTCCAAAATCGCTTAATTATCCCTATTTCAGTAGCAACCTCTTGCAAATTGACTACATTTCATTAATCTCTTGAAAAATATTTAAAAATAAAAGGAAGCTGTAATTTTTGTCTATGGAACCTAATGCTTCATACATAATCACCAGGGAACGGATTTTTAGGACCTAAAAACCTATAAAAAAGGCAAAATAAAATAAAGAAATAGGCTGAAAAAGGCAAAATAAAATAGCGAAAAAGGCAGGAAAAGGCACTAGGTATTGTAAAAAAGGCAAAAAAAGGCAAAGTAAAATAGCGAAAAAGGCAGGAAAAGGCAAAAGAAAGGTATTGCAAAAAAAGCAAAATA